TTTGAAAACATGTAAAGAACAAAGAAGTGTAGGAAATTAAATGTGGATGAATTACATAAATAATACTTGAAATATTTTTTAATATGTTATAAACTTGTTTTTGAAAACTTGCAAATTAAGTTTAATGAATGATTATTAAAAGAAATATTAATGTAACGATTAAATAAATGTCACTATTATTAAAATAAAAGTAATTAAATAAATATTTTTGTATAAATTTACAATATAAATCTGCTTTAATATTTTTCTAATTTGGGCTAAATTTTACCTAATCAATGAGTCATCATTGTTGAATACAGATGTCGCGTGCCTGAACGCGAAGCGTTCATCTACTCAATGGTATGTGAAGGCAGTAGGAAAGAAAAGTCATGATAAATAGATAATAGTAATCGTATGAATTGAGAGGAAAAAAAAAGAAGAAAGTAAGGAAAATGTAAATCATCGGTGATGGAAACGTAACAAGAAATGTATGATCAGTAAATATGCGTTGAAGTAAAATATCTAAAAAGCGATAAATGAGCAGGAAATTACGGTGGTTTGAGGCTTAATCAATGAGTAAAAAATACTGCAATTAAGTTAGGAACCCTGGCATATGGCAACACTTATTTTAGGTAAATGTTTGTGGCAATATCTATTTCATTACATTGAAGTTGTTTCCACAATCATTTGTGTTTTTGCATAGAATAAAAAAATGGCTTCAAGAAATCGTCGTATAATTGAAACAGATTTATCAAATGTTGAATTTGATACTAGTGAAGATGTTGAAATCATTCCTACCTTTGATAATATAGGATTACGGGAAGATCTGTTGAGAGGAATATATGCTTATGGTAAGTGTTTGTTTTTCTATTAAAGATCGTATCGGCACATGGACTTAAAAAAGTTGACTCAATTTTATTATCTACATAATTTTTTTGAAAATTGTCATTTACTATCGGTTAGAATTATAAAAATGAAGTTGTAATTAATTTATTCTACTTTGATATACTTTTATTCAAATAAACAGTTTTTATTATAGTTATACTTGTGCTGATCTAAAAAAGAAATTTTTTTTTAATGTTTGGTTTTTGTCTAGAATTTCGTAGAATATCTTCAAACATGGCTATAGAACTGCATTAAAAAGAATATATCACCAACTTTTATTAAATAATTAAATTATAATTACTTAATTTTGAAATTGAATAATCGTAATAATCTTAACAGTAAAAGGATATCTAAAATCAAGTTTCCGAATCTATTTCTTTAGTGCATTTACATCAATTTTTGTTATATTAACATTTTTGTAATTGTTAATAACCTTGTTTAATCAATTTGTTCCGATTATACCAGGTCTCTTTTACATCCCAAAGAGCAATAATTATTTCAAGAACTCGGTTTATAACTCTTTTTTGTGGTAACCTTGTTTATTAATGATAAGTTATGAATTGTTTAAAAGAAATAACTTATTTTATTTTTATAGGCTTTGAAAGACCATCAGCTATTCAACAGCGAGCTATTAAACCTATAATGAAAGGAAGAGATGTAATTGCCCAGTAAGTATATAATCTGTCACTTACTGCATTTTTAAAAAAATAATTGTATATCTAACTGAAGATAGTCCATTAAAGTTTTTTAAGTATTTTTGTGATTGTCAATCACCCACACAAACAAGTAGTGGACAGTAGGATTACCATTAAAAAAAAGCTTGCTGGGTGCTGCACATAAAAAAGAATATATTGCCAAGTTTGTATCAAAAATTGTACCTGTAACTAATGGAATCAACTGGGATATTCATCTTATAATCCTTGATAAATTTATTCATGAAGAATTTATAAATCAATATTTATGACATAAATATATTTGACCATTCAATCATAAACCATTTTAAAACCCCTTCCACTTCATTAAGTTAAATTCTATTTACATTATTATCATTTCAGAAATTTTGGAGCAAAAAAAAATAGAGAAATTATGCAAAAGTTTTTTTGTTCCATAAATACCTAATAAATCTGATTGAATTAAAATTTGCTGTCCCATAAAAAAATTAAAATGCTGTATTGCATTTTATCAGAATTTTCCTAAGGGCTTAATTAGACAGTTATAATTGCATTCATCATTAGCATGTACACGAGGAAATAAAATAGGTTACATTTACAAAGTAGAAGCCAATAAGATGAAAACTCGGCAAGAGACTGTTACTTCCATTGACTTATATTTCTCTATTATTCTATATTTTATTTTAATTTGTTTTTTTTTTTCTTTGTTTAGAGCACAATCTGGAACTGGAAAAACAGCTACATTTTCAATTGGTGTTCTACAAATGCTAGATACTGAGGTTCGAGAAACACAAGTGCTTATTCTCTCACCAACCAGGGAGTTAGCTGTTCAGATACAAAAAGTGTGTATAATTTATTTTGTTACGTAAATTTAAATATCTTAAGAGGTTGACGTTTGAATAGATTTTTAAAGTAGCAGTTCTGATTTTAAAATAAGATTTTTTTTAACCATTTTGAATAAAAAAGCATCTGAAATTCATTTTCGATTCAATATGTGGCAAGCCTTCTATAATGCAAGCTGGGTGATTCCTTTGGCCTCCCTCCTAGGTCATGTTTCTCCCAAGTCCATGTTTCTCTTTCCACTGCTCTTTTTGCTCAAAACTCCGTTATAAGGAGCAATTGTACTTATTTCGTAGGTGATTTGCTTCTCAGTCTTTTTCAAGTTGAGGTGGAGAGCCAAAAAAAGTACATTTTCAAAAGAAAGGAGAGAAGGAAACAATATTGAATTAAAATCTTTTGTTTATTTAAAATTATAATATTTACAAGCGAATTAAATTTTTACAGTTACACAGCATTTACTGCTTTATTTATTTACACTATGTAAATTGAAAAGAATAAAAGTTAAATATTGCATAATTGAGACATTTCAAAGTGAAATAATTTAAATAAAATAAAAAGTTCTCACTGGTGGTATTTTCCAAATCTGAATTGAAATCAGATATCACATTGGCATCAGCCCAGTAATAATGGTTCTGACCTGCTTTTTATGATACACTTTTGAAAGTACCAATTTTATTTTCAACACGATTTATTTTATATGGTATATTGTTGTTGTTTCTTATCCCACTTGGCTATCCATGTACTCATGATTGAAGGGAAGGAAGCAGCTTCTGTTGTGATGGAGCACCCGTATAGAAGCCTGACTTTTGCTCCATGACGCTCTTACAGTCATAGGAGACCGGGACCTACGGCTTAAAGTGGATTCCGAACCACTACAAACAACCATGGCACCGCCGGGATTCGAACCCGAAACCTGTGGCACCGAGCGCTAGACACTTGGCCTCACTCAGGTCCCAAATTTGCCAATGGCACGCGGTGTTCCCAGGTGGTCACCCACCCAAGTACTGACCGTGCCCAATGATGCTTGACTTCGGTGATCTAACGAGAACCGGTATATTCAGCATGGTACGGCCGTTGGCTGGTATATTGTTCAATGAATATATGCACAGATTCCCTTTTCAAATGACTGGTAGTTTCTTTGTTCAACCCCTAGTAGCAAGTCCCTTTTACTCTTGCCGTTTACAAGGAAAAAGAGTGTTGTCACTATCCTTTCTTTAGTTCAGTAAAAATGAAAACTAGTAATTAATTTTACTAATTTCGTAAACCTCCAAGTTAGATATTATTTCTTACAAAAATTAATGAAATAGTATTGGCAGAAAATGTCAAACAGTATGTGTTTTAATTAATGTAATCTATTTGCTTCATCAGGAATGTTTTATCTACCATTTCAAAATTTTTGCATGTATATAAAAGTACATCGTGCAACAAGACTGATGTAAGAAATGACCATGTGTTATTATAAAAAAAATGCCCCCAGACAAGTCACTATGAAGCCCTTGAGTAGCGGAGCAGATTAAATTAATTGTCTGTTGGTACCAAAACAAGGATATGGCACTTTTATTTTGTCATAGAATCAAACTGTATATTTATTTTAAATTAGGGTGTGAAATTGAATTTATGTATATCAAAATATGTTCTGTTTCATGTAAAATTTAAAAAATGTATACCAATTAATGATTTGAAATGTTATTTTTTATTATTTTTTTAATAAACTTGTTAAAATCGTATTTTTAAAAATATTAAAGTAGTATTGCAATATGTTAATATAATTCTTAAAACTCTGATAAAGTTCTTCTTGATGTATAAAGATATAATCTCTAGAAGAATTTGTATAAAAATTAAATATAAAAAACATATTTGTATTCTATTAAGGAAAATGTGGTAGAAATAATAATAATAATAATAAAAAAAAAAAATGCAAAGCCCTCCAAGAAACAGAGAAGAGGTGCCAAAAAAAGGGATATTTGAATAGTAGATTTCTTGATAATTGGTTTAAGAGCATATTTTGCTTTTCTGGAATTTTTAAGTATACCAATTATTTTTTAAAAAGTAGGGTCTAGATAAAGTTGCTGATAAGGGAAATGATTCCTAAAATGAAAAGAATTTGTTATTCGATGAACTTGATAATTTTGAAAAACTTATTTGAGTCAATTGTTGATTACAACCAAAGGAATTGTGAAAGAAAATAAATCCCGGGTAAGAATGAGGTGTATATACAATCAAAACTAGTAATTAGAGGGAAAAGGTGACTAACTAGTGAAAAGGAGAGCACTCTTGTTTGAGTGCATCCCCTTTAAGAGATCTTAAAATTCCGAGTCAAGACCATCTGCAGATGAGAATTTGTTTGTTGTTGTGTGTGTGAAATTTTGTAATTCATGCACAATAAGAAGCAATTTTTTATTCTTATTAATAATTGCTGAATACTAGTGATGTACATGACTATATAAATATTGAATACTTAATATAATAGAGAGAGAAAAGAACCTTGTGGGAGAACCAGTGATAATAAAGTAAGACTATAGCCTTTTTTTCATTCTTATTCTTATTATTAAAGGAATTTAAGTTAGGAAAAATTGAATTTGAGCTGCATGAACCAAGCTCAATGTAAAATCTTCCTTTGTATAACCTCCCTAAAAAGAAGTGGATGATCTTTTGTGTCCACTTGCAAAAGCCATTATCTTTTTCACTCTCAATTCATTTTCCTGCCAGTTTTTCATTCCGAAATTTCTAAACATTGAGATGTCAGTGAAGTGGTTTGCAAAAGTTGGAACGGGGTGTTTTTTATATATATATTTTTAATGTCTCTGTGGACATCTTCTATTGTCATAATTCATTACAAAATATATCAAGAGGCTTTATAATTATTTAAATTAAATTGTACTTGTTCTTTAAACAAATGCAATAAATATATGTGCATCTGTTTATTTTTAGGTCATTTTGGCCCTTGGAGATTATATGAGTGTTCAATGCCATGCTTGCATTGGAGGAACCAATCTGGGAGAAGATATCCGTAAATTAGATTATGGGCAGCATGTTGTTTCTGGAACTCCTGGAAGAGTATTTGGTATGTTGTTTATTTTTAATTTAATTCTATTCAATTATGTTAATTAAATAGAATTTACTTTATCTGTTACTTATTTTGTGAAATGTTTGATTTCCAGATATGATTCGAAGACGGAATTTGAGAACACGTTCCATTAAAATGCTTGTTTTGGATGAAGCTGATGAAATGTTGAACAAAGGTACTAGAACCATTTCTAAATGAATAAAATATAGTTTCTTAAATTGATAGTATGTAGTAAAAGCTAAACAGTGATTAACAATTTTATAAAACATTGTAAAAATTAATACATATATTCAGTGAATTAATTTAATGCTTTTTATCTGTATAGTGTTTAGTCTTCAGTACATTTTGTGTTTTTAAGTATCTAAAAATGTCTAGGTGGCAACAGAACAAGAATCGGGGTATTTTGTTGATCTGTAAAAGTCAAAAATTCATAAAAACATCTAAAAATCAATAATTGCTGACAATTGCATTTTGTACGATAAAGGATTTTGTAGTCAAGCGTGGTTAGCAACTCAGATTATTACTACCTTATGCCAGACTGTCCAGTTTGATTCCTCATTTTTAAATACATCTATATTGCTTTTACTAGTGCTGTTATTTATACTGATGCTATTTGCTTAAGCCAATTTAATCATTTTAATGTTTAATATTTTATTATTTAGTAAGCTTAATTTCATTATCTTTAGTATCTGCATTGATTGGTATTTGCTATATGTATATTTTAAGTGTATTAAGCCTAAATTATTTAATCAATCATACTTCAATTTGTTATTTGTGTGTATTTTTTCTACAATTGAATTGGACTTCCACTAAATGTGTATGGAAAGGGGGTAAAATTCAATGATAGGGTGGCTCCTTTAAAAAACACAATAACAGAGAATTCTCATTTCGTGATATTTTGCTATTTCTTTTCACGAGTTTCTTAAAAATGAAAGCAATTGTCAGAATCATGTAAAACCCTCTTAATTAAAATAGTTTAAATGAAATAACTTATCTGTATTTATTTTATTAAGAGTGATTATCTTATAATAAATTGTGGGAAGAGTGTTCATTTGTAATACACTGTTTTAATAGATTTTTTTAAGATTTTAATTTTATTTTTTAAAATTCATAATATATTATTTTTTTAATATTAAATAACTGGTAATGTTTTTACTAATATTATATTGTACACATGCAGTGATTTTGAGCAGGGAGAAAGCCAAAAAACTAATATAATTAGTAGCCGTAAGTCAGGAAAAAAAGTTTTCGCAGCTTCTGTAGTCATCCTGAATCAAAACATTATTAATATTTTGTTAACTTGCTACAATTTTTTTAATAAGTAGTATTGACATCTTAAAAATAAGATTGTTACAATTTAAAATGTATATCTTGTTGTTTATATATGTTTTTTTTTTATTTTAAGGTTTTAAAGATCAGATATATGATGTATATCGATATCTCCCTCCATGCACTCAAGTTGTTTTAATATCTGCAACCCTTCCCCATGAAATTTTGGAAATGACCAGCAAATTCATGACAGATCCTGTCAGAATTTTAGTTAAACGGTACTTATTTGACACATTCACCTTCAATTTATATGCAATTTAATATATGTAATAAAACTTTACTTAAATGTACTTCATTTTGTTTATAATTTTTTTATTATTATCTAGTGATGAATTGACTCTTGAAGGTATTAAGCAATTTTTTGTTGCTGTTGAAAGAGAAGAATGGAAATTAGATACACTTTGTGACTTGTATGACACATTGACAATAACACAAGCTGTGATATTCTGCAACACCAAAAGAAAGGTTTGTAAAAATAATTTTTATTAATTATTTAGTGAATAATAACTAAAATTGATTTTTGTGTTTGCAAAAGTTCTGCTTCCATGAATGCATAATGAAATAGATTTATGTGATAGAACACTGTAATTTTTATCTTGTGTTGAATTTTTATCTAATCAATCAATTCGTCCAACAGTTTTTATTATTTATTAATCCGACAAAACAAACAAATTTCAGAGAAAAAAAATTTACTTATAATAGTCTGTCAAATTTGTTTCTTCCTGGGTTTTTTTTAAATGCTAATAAATATTGAATAAATTATCTTTCATTGTATCATATTTTATTATAGGTTAGTGCCAATCTTAATATTTAATTATTCCAGTCTAATATAATCATGTTATTAGATTAAAAAAATTGTTATACTTTCTTATGTATGATTGTTCTTGCAGGTTGATTGGCTCACAGAAAAAATGAGAGAAGCAAATTTCACTGTTTCTTCTATGCATGGAGATATGCCTCAGAAAGAAAGAGATGCTATTATGAAAGAATTTAGATCTGGACAAACGTAAGTATTTTGTTTTTTCTATCTTGTAAATATAAACTGAAAATATTTATTGTTGGAAAAAATGTAACAAAAAAAATTAAATAGCCGTCAAATAATAAAAATAGCATACTTTGAAGCCTTTAAATTTTTATTTTTTTAATATATGCACAGCCGTGTACTCATTACCACTGATGTATGGGCCAGAGGAATTGATGTTCAACAAGTATCATTAGTTATAAACTATGATCTTCCAAACAACAGAGAATTATACATTCACAGGTAAGAGACGATTATATTATCATCAATTCGAATACATTAACGTTTCAGTTTTTCATTCATCACGAAAATATTCTGATTTAGTGATGAATTTGTATACATGTCTCCCATAGTCTGTGAAAATATTTTAGAAAATTCTTTGCAAATAAAACAACATTTTTATGTGGTTTATATTATAATAAATGCTTTAAAAATAACATTTATTAAATGTTTCTACAAAACAATTGTAATTGGGCAGTTTTAACAACTAATATTAATATTATCAAAATATTCAAAATAAGATTTTCTGTATTGTTACTTAAATATGTTTTGTTGGGAATATATAAATTTGGTATTCAAATAGATTATTCTGTTTGATACTGTAGTATGTTTTTAACAAATAAACAGTATAAATGCAAAATTTGAAAACTGTATTTGGA